ACGTTGGACGGTGTAAGATATGACAAAATAATAATTTATAAATTATCAAGGGTTCATGGGGAGGGAAGAGGAGGGAGGGTGAGGGAGGGGATAAAATGAGGAGCTGATACCAAGGACTCAAATAGAAAGCAGATGTTTTGAGAATAAGGGAAACAAATGTACAAAAGTGCTTGACACAATGGAGATGGATGTGTGGATTGTGATAAGAGTTGTACAAGCCCCAGTAAAATGATTTAATTATTTTTTTAATGAAGAAAATGTTCTAAAACTGATTGTGGTGATAACTGTGCAAGTCTTCTTGATGTGATTGAACTATTGAATTGTATGATGTGAATTATATGCCAATAAACTGATGAGGAAAAAAAATGAAAGCTCACCTTCGTTACAGCTTTCTATTTCTTCCTTTGGATGTTTTTATTGTGGGGAAAAGAGATCAGGAGAGAGACTCTTTCCTCTCCAGATAGCTTAAACACTTATAAAACTTGTCAAAATACTTAGTAGTAAAGAAATAGTTCTGGTCTTTTTCTCTGTCTCCCGTGTACGTTCTGTTCCAGCATGCAGGCTGACACGTGGTTTAGGGGACAGCTAGCCACAGGCCAGCAGTATAACCCACCAGTTACTCAAAGGAAAAAGATGAAAGTCTCTGCCCTTGTAAAGATTCAGTCTTAGACAAAATGGGTGCCTAGGCAAATGTGCTGAAGAAAGCGGATGGTGCCCAGTTATGAAAAGACACAGCATCTGAGGGCCTTAAAGGCTTGTAGTTAGACACGCAGCCATCTAGCAGGGAAGCAACAAAGCCCACATGGAAGAAGCACAGGAGTCTCTGTGATCATGAGGTGTCGACGAGAAGATGTATCAGAAGTTCAAAAACATGCAACCAATGTGAGGGGGTGTGTGTGGATGTCCTAGAGACCCAAATCCCAATTGTAAGATAAATAAGATAATTGGACAGTCGTTCTCAGAAGGGCCACACAGAGGGATGAAAAAACCAGGGTGTGGGATAGCGCTGATGAACCACATGACTATCCTCTAATTCTTTAATATTTCCTCCCCCTACCATTATGATTTTTATTTGTTACCGCGTTAATCTTGTTAGACTTGCACATTTGTGTTTTTAAGATTGGTCAGTACATAAAAGTCAAGCTAGATAACCCATCAGAAACAGTAACAGGAGTAATGGGTCTCGTGAGGGTGCGAAGAGGCAGGGGTTGGGGAATAGGAGCTGATAGCACTGAGGACTGAACAGCCCTACTCAACGGGACCGACAACAGAACTGTTTGTAAATGGATATACTGGATTGTGTACAATATGGCCCCCAAAAAACCCCAAAAATCCATAGGAAAAAAAAGAAAAGGAATAGGTTCCTGTGGTACAGTGGGAGAGGGAAAGGGAAAAGGGGAGCTGATATCAAAGAGTTAAGGAAGAAAGAAAATGTTTTGAAACTCATTGTGGTAGCAATTGTACAATACTGCTTGATGTGATTGAACTGGGAATGCTATATCTGTAAGCTCCAAAGAAAATGATACAAGAAAAAAAGATTTAATCTTAGAACCCCAAAGGAGCAATTCTACTCTGTCCCATGAGGCAGAATTGACTTGATAGCAGTGAGTTTGAGTCACAAAGACAAGGGGAGGATCTGATGGCGGTAAAAGGAAGCCTCCTTTGGCCAAGCACAAAGGGTTCCTTTTGGGAAAAGTTAGCTCTTCTGCCACCTTGTGACACAGAGTAAGAATAGCAAGCCTTTAGAATCCTTTCCCACCCCTGCACCATGGTGGCAGCACTGTGATGTGACAACTAGGAACTGATCTACAGAAAACTACAAATTGAGTGACAGGGGCAATACATCTGATATTACAGGGGAACAGAAACGATAATAAGGAAATAGTAACCCAAAACCATGAAACCCAGGGAAGGCAATGGATCCCCTTTATTCTGGCCTACTCATTTAAGAGAATCAACTACAGGGTGATGAAGCTAAAGGATTGCAGCCTTCAGTGTGGATTACAACTCAATGTGAAGAAGACCAAAATCTTCACAACTGGACCAAAAGGTAACATCACGATAAATGGAGAAAAGGTTGAAGTTATCAAGTTTTCATCTTGCTTGGATCCACAATCAATGCTCATGGAAGCAGCAGTCGGAGATCAAGAGGTGCATTGCATTAGGTAAATCTGCTGAAAAGGAACTTTACAGTATTGAAAATCAAGAATGTTCCTTAGAGGACTAAGGTGTGCCTGACTCAAGCCATGGCATTTTCCATTGCCTCATATGCATGTGAAGTTGGACATTGAATAAGGTAGACCAAAGAAGGTTCGATGCATTTGAATATTAGTGCTGGAGAAGAATATTGACAGTCACATGGATTGCTAATAGGACAGACTGATCTACCTTGAAGAAGAATGGTACGCCAGAGGGCTCCTTAGGGGCAAGGATGCCAAAACTTTCTCTCTTTTTTTTTTTGGCAAAACTCATCTTACAATCTTTGGACATATTGTCAGGAGAGACCAGTCCCAGGAGGACATCATGCTTGGTAAAGTAGAAGGGATGGAAAAAGAGGAAGACCCTCAATGAGATGGACTGACACACTGGCTGCAAAGTGAGCTCAGGCTTCGGAACAATGATGAGGATGGCGCAGGATCAGGCAACGATTCCTTCTGTATGCGTGGAAGTGCAGTGGGTCAGAATCGACTTGATGGCACCTACCAGCAGCAAAGGGCAGATGAAGGAGCCCTGGTAGGATAGTGACTGTGCATGAGGTGCTAACTACAAGTCAGCAGTTCAAAACCACCAGCCACTCCTCAGGAGAAAGACAGGGTTTTCTCTTCCATAAAGAGTTACAGTACTAGAATCCCACAGGGGCAGTGAGACTCTGTCCAATAGGGTTGCTCTGAGTAGGAATCAACTTGATGGTATTGAGTAGCAAAGGAACCCTGGTGCCGTAGTGGTTACATGTTGGGCTGCTAACTGCAAGGTCAGCAGTTCAAAACTACCAGTCACTCTGAAGGAGAAAGATGAGGGTTTCTACTCCTACAAAGAGTTACAGTCTCAGAAATGTGCAGGAGCAGTTCTACCCTGTCCTACAGGGTCACTATGAGTTGGAAATGACTCAATGATAGTGAGTTTGAATTTTTGTTTTGCTTTGTTTTTGGTAGCAGAGAAAAAGGAGTGAGATAGGGCTGCTCTGGATTAATAAAGATTTGAGCACTTATGTCCCCATTAGTCAGTGTCCCTACTCTCTGCTCCTTCTATAGAAAAAGAGAGAAAAGTCTTGTAAAGGTTATCTATGTGTTTTCTGCTTCACCTCAAATGCCCTTCCCTTTCACCTTACTCCTCCTGTGTCATCCACTCCTCTGAGACTGGGATTGTCACAATTGTCAAACACAGCAGCTACTCTGCCCCATTACAACTTACCGTCAGCTGACCAACTGACCGCCCCCTAGTCTCCTGTGACATCCACTTTCCAGGTTTTCTAAGCACAGATGTTACCTCTGCAGAGACCATCCCTGACCACAATATTTAAAGTGGTCTCTACTTATATGCAATCCTTCCTCTCATCATACTGGTGGTTCTTCATGGCAATTATCACAATCTTTAATTAACTTACGTATGTACTTGTATGCTTTATCTGCCCTTCTGTGGCATTTCATTTTTCAACTTTGCTTACTAACTGCTTCCTATTGAGGACAGACTTGGTCCTACTCACTGACAGAATAGTGTGTGGACCCTCATTTGTGGAATGAATTCATGAATGAAAGAAAGGTACTAGGGCTGAATGTATACTACTTCCTGACTTCTACATTTCAGGAAACATATTGTCCTTCTATGACATCCCCTCCCTTTCTATTTCCAATAGATATCCCTTAATGTTCTATTTAGACATATGGTATTTTGAATATGGTTTGACAGTGGTCTCATGAACTCCTTCATGCAAAATCTCTTGAACCAAGTTCCCAAGCATTCTTATCAGCCAGTGTTTCAGCCTCCCAAGCCTTCTCACACACAACCAACTCCATGCTGGCTCCAATGAAGCACATTTACAATGGATAGAAGACTGCAAAGACTCTGGACTAAAACAAAGGACCCGAGGAGATCTTTATATTTACTTCATGATTCACTCAATTATACCATCACATAATCTATCAAATATTACACTAGATGAATAATCTTCACTAAAAGATAAGATTTTAGAAAAATCTTCAACAACAGATTTCCTTCTGCGTAGGAAAACCTTCCTGAACTGCAGGCAGCCACCACTCTTCCTGACCTCTCAGCTCAAAAGCATACATGTTCATGTTCTTATTCAGAGGAGTATGAAAATGTACAAAACTAGATTGATATCCTTGAGTGAGTGTAAGTTTATATGGACAACTGCAAATAAATTCTAGAGATCATTTGGTTACAACTCTCAATTTACAGGGAAGAAAATTGAAACCCAGAGAGGTCAAGTAATTTCCCCAAGGTGATGCTATAAAAAGATCTACACTAGAACCCAATTCTATGGCTACCTAGCTCAGTGCTGTCCAGTGTAACCCACTCACTCATTAGGTCCTAGTCTCCTGCTGTATTCCAGAGATCACAGTCTTTACTAGAAGTCCCCACATCTCTTTATGCTGGTGTATAAATCTACATGCCTGTGTCAGTAAGCATGCATGTGAATGGCTACGTGTCTTTCAGCAAGTATTTGTAAAGCATATCACTAAGTGGTAATGCCCTTTCTGCTGGGGAAGCCTCTAGGTAATTACAGCTTGCTCTATTGGCACCAGTGATGAAGTTAAGGTAAGAATGTCAGAGTCAATCATTAATCAACAGACTTGGTCCTCTCTCCAATCAGCTGTATTCCCGGGTCTTCAGGAAATGGGACAAAATAATCAGGTGGAAACAGACTCTCCCACAGTTAAAGTTGGCTCCAGGGCAGTGAAAGCAGCTAGACTCTGGCCCATAAGGAGTTGTGACAGATTAGCTGCCTACTGTCTCTACTAGGTGTATGTGCTCAAGCGACTATGGACACTATCTTGGTCTTCAGCCTAATCATTGCATCCTATGATGCCAACATGAGAGGTAAGTACTTCTCTAGCCTGATAGCCTTGAGAAATCCACAGCAAGGCTTAGAACATTCCTTCTAAGACAGTGCATGAGCTCTCTTCTGCCAGATGGAGACACAGTGATCCTCCGTAGGTGATGCTTTTCAGGTATCATCCAGGCATGTATTCTTGGTCTCAGCAGGACTTGCAATTTACTCAGCCCAGAACTGTTTCATGATGAGAGGCCTTCAGAGAATGTGATGTGTACTTCTGTGTGCTTGCTCTCTCGCTGTCAGTGACTTTCTTTACTGAAGAGTACTGTTGGCTTCAGTACTGTCACCTAAATGCTCACATTCCTAACCCCTCACAAAATGTTGCCTTCGGCTTTTTAATATATCCAAATTGTCTGATGGAATGCTCTTGGGCAGGGAAGTTGAGAGAAAAAGTGGGGTTGAGGTGGGATGGCTTGTCGTTTATTCAAAACATTAGTTTTCAGAATGTCCTAAAACATTTCACCTCTAAAATTAGCTAATCTAAATAAATAATAAAAGTAGCTAATTGGAGTGAAGGTCAAATGGCATGATTCACAGCAATAATGAATTTAACAAATGATGAAAACTCACCACATTCTTGTGCGTTGTCTGCCAAGAAGCATAAAGAACTATGACCCACAGTCCTGTGGAAGCCTATAGAGCTATCTCGGTTATCTCACTCTTAATAAACCTATACACTCATAACAAAGATAAGTTTCCTTTAATGCCAAAAGGCAGACAGAACATGAAGGTGAAAAGAAGTAGTGCCGAGGGAAATGAATCTCTTAGTCTTTTATTAACTTCTCTTAATTCTATTTCACCTTTCTTTTTCCTAAAGGTATCAAGTAGATCGTTTTCTTGGTACTAGGCTAACTCCTACTTGTGTGTATTTAGCTGTGTTTTTAAAAGTTGGGTTTTTTTTAAACTTATCTTCCTAGTTAGATCGCAAATGTTCTAAGAAAGGGTTCCATTCTTTTGGATCTCCCACTCTTGTGCCCAGTAATTCCTGATAATTTTGTTTCCTACAGAACTCCAGGATAGCAGCTGCCAAGTGGAACTGCTGCCTGGGATCTTCCCAAAGGATGTAGGAAACATCAGGGACATGCTAATACAAGGTAGGGAATGGGCCCTTCCTGGAAAATTACTTTGCCATGCCATTTCACCTTTAAAAGATGGTTTATCAAAAAAAGAAAGAAAGAAAAACTTTGTCTGCAAGATTCTAGCCCAGAGTGTAATTACCTTATTTTAAAAGGGAGTATCCTGCACCTTCTCCACAGGAAGCTTCTGAGAAACAAGCTTTAAAACTGCCCACATACGGCAATCTAAACCAAACAGACGGGGAGGAAGAGAGAGAGGAGTTTGTCCTTTACCCTCTCTGCATTAAACAAGGCTGTCTGTGAGCATTTCTCTCACAACAGAAGTCACAGCAGTCACCCATTCTCAGGGAAGGTCAAGGTCAGAAGGAGGAAAAGTACATTTGGTCTGAAAACACTTGCTGAGGAAGAAGTGAAGTGTAAGAGAAGCTGCAATGGTGGAGCTTACCAGGGGTTGTAAGTGGAATTAGTTTAGCTAGGCACTGTTCAGATGAAGAACCAGCTCCATTTTTCTGTCTGACTTTTCTCTTTCCAGAAACCCAGGCAGAGGCCCATAGGGCCACAATCATCAAAAACCAGACTCTGGCTACCCTGCAATGCTCGGAGGGCAAAATGAAAGTCACCTTAGTGTATTCAGAGAAAAAGCCAAAGGTCAAGTATTCTCTGAGGAACCTGAGAACCTTTGCTGCTCCCCACAGAAATGATTCTGCCTCCCCAAGCTGTCACCTAGCCCCTGCGTCCAAGTCTCAGACGGGACCCCTTCTGACAGGCAAAGGTGAGACTGGAAAAGAAGAAGGTAGTAGGCTCTGACTGTCAGTTTACATCCATGAAGGCTGTGTAGGAAATAAAGCCCCAAGGAAAGGAATTGTCTTTCCCTTGGGCAATCTTGTTCTCTTTGCCACTCAATTTTCTAATCTCTAAGGGTCCTCTTAGCTTGACATGCTATGATTTTTATACTATCTACACTTCTTTTGACAAGGGTTACCTAGTTTTTAATTGTTACTTGAATTAAAATATATATGCATTTTAATTTGTTTTGAATACACATGCAAAAACTCAAACAGCACAAATTTATGGGGAAAGTAAGTCTACTTCCTACTCCTCTCTCAATGTGCCAATTCTCAATCCCAAAGGCAACCACTATTACAATATATTGTAGTTCCTTCCCGAGATGCACGTACGGATGTATATATTTCAAAAACATACATATAGCATCCACACTGTTCACTATCCTGCTTTTCACCACTTAACAATGTATCTTACAGATGGCTCCACATCAGACAGTAGTACTAAATTTGACTGTTCTTTTTAAGTTGTACAGTATTCCAGCAGATTGTACTATAACTTATTTTTATACTATTTTTATTGACATATCTTACATTCCAATATATCCATTCACGTACAATTCTGTGGTTCAATCCCATCGGGCGGGGTTATATAATCATCAATGCTATCAGCTCCCAATTTCACCCCTTCCTGCTGTACTGTAATTTATTTTACCAGTACCCCATTGTTAGATATTTTGATAGTGTGACAGATACTTGATTTTGCAAACATAAACAATGCTACAAGCAATAGGGTCTTATACATTCTTCCTGTACTTGACTTTTTGTAGTAATGGTCTCATCCAATGTTTGTCCTTTATTGACTGACTAATTTCATTCAGCATTATGTCCTCCAGGCTCATCCATGTTATGAAGTGCTTCGCAGGTTCCCCATTATTCTTTAATGTTGCACAGCATTCCATTGTGTGTATATGCCACAGTAGTATCCATTCTCTGACTGATGGGCATTTAGGTTGCTTCCATGTGAGTGCTATTGTACACAGTACTACCATAAGCATGAGTGTGCATGTATCTGTGTCGAGGCTCTTATTTCCTTAGGATATATACCAAGTAAAAAGATTGCTGGATCGTACAATATTTCTATTCCCAACTTTTTAGGAAGCACCATACTTCTTCCCACAGTGACTACACTGTTTTACAGTCCCACCAGGACCCAAGGCTCTCCATACCTTCATTGGCATTTGTTGCTTTCTGTTTTTTTTTTTCTCTTTGTTCATTTCAAAGTGTGCTATTAATGATATCTCATATTGATTTGCATCTCCCCAATGGCTAATGATCATCAGCACTTCTTCATATATGTTTGATGGTTGCCTGAATGTCTTTGGTGAAGTATCTGTTCATTTACCATACACTTCTATGGAATAATGATAAATTCTAAACCATAGGTTCCCAAACGTATTTGGCCTGTTGCCTCCTTTTTAGGAAAAAAAATTACTAAATGCCCCCGACATTAAACACTTTTGTACTATAGCCAATAATCCAGGATAAAGTATAGGTATCTGCTTTTGCTGCCACTCTGGATTGTTTCAGTGCCCCACACCCCTGCTGCCCTGGGAGGCAGCAACACCCATTTAAAGAGGCACTGCTCTAAACCATCCATTTATGAATGGACCTTTGAAGCATAATCCCATTTATAAGCTTAAAACTGCTTATTCTAAGTTAGAGCTACAAAGAGCAGCAGGGATATAACAGACTCCAAAAATGGCTGAAATAAGAATTAGGTAAATGGTCACACTTCTAAGGTGATAAAAGAAATGCCCTTTGAATTACCACACTGTGGATGTGATAACTCTGTACAGGAAGATGTTACAGAAACACTCAGAAGACGACTGCCAACCCATTGCCACCGAGTCAATTTTGACTCACAGAGACCTTACAGAGTTTCCGAGGCTCTAAGTCTTTATGGGGACAAAAAGCCTCATCTTCCTCCCACAGAGCAGTTGATGGGTTTGAACTGCTGATCTTTTGGTAAATAACCCAAACCAACTATACCATCAGGGCTCCTTACAATCAGAGGACCGATCAGTTCATCAACATATTCTCAAGAGTTAGCTAGGTATTTGAAAGGGTCAGGATGAGTAGTTTGTGACAAGGCACTCAGTGTCTCCAGTGGTCAGTTTCTATAGTGATGAATGAGGGATGTGACTGGGTAGTCTAATCTGTAAAGTGCAAGGTCAGATCTTGAAGCATAAATCCAATGTCAGTATCTGTGAGGCCTCGCAAATAGCCCTTCAACCTGCTGTTCTTATTACAAAATAATCTCTAAGGGAGGTTTCTATTTAACCAGACTGTACTAAACATCCTCTACTTATGTTATGAAGCAAAGCATCCTTTGGGACTATAAATAATCATCTCCTAAATTGTCCATTTCATAAATTTGGATTTTTACATAGTTCCTTAAGGTGCAGCACTCTTGTTCATACATCCTTAGCTGAGGAAAGACAGTGCTAACATTCCATTATCACTGGAAGTGAGGTGTTCACATTTTCCAATGTGCTCCACCTATGTGCTCAGTTTTCTAGCAGATGAGGCCTACGAGAGATGAGCTGCCAACACCAGCACGGATGGACTTTCACTTTGAAGTTTGGCAGAACTGAACATGCAGGGACAGACGATGCCTATTAAGCGGACTTGGAAACCGTGGCTGCTGGGAGGTGGGAGGGTATCCATATTGAAATACCATTATCCCCATGGCTAGAGGGCATAGTTCTTAGAGGGGTATCTACGGAGTATTCCTTCTTTCAATCACAGTATCGGTCAGTTTACCAAGAGTCTTTGCACCTGTTTTCTCCTTTTATTCTTTTCTGATCTTCGCCACACCCTATGGGACCATCGCCATGCTACAGATGCCGTTGTTAGGTGCCATCAGTTCTGACCTCTCGGGGCCCTGTCGACAGCAGAAGGAAACCCTCTTCACAGGTGGTCTTCTGTCTGAGGCCATCCTCGCGGCCCCTGTGTCCATCCATTTTGTTGAAGGTCTTTCTTTTTTTCACTGCCCCTCTCCTATACCGAGCATGATGTTCTCCGGGGTCTGGCTTCTCCTGACAATATAGCCAGTGGATGTGAGATGAGTTTCTACCATCTTTGCCTTTAAGGAGAATTTTGGCTGTATTTTTTTCAAAGACAGATTTCTAACTCAGAAAAGTTATGACTAGTCCAAAGTAAGATTTATCTTCATCTCATCTGGCTCATAAACATGTAGGTTATCACTGAGGAGAACTGACTGGCACTATGCTGAAAATACTGAACTTACTTTCCTTGATTTTCCTTTGGGACCTGTTGACACTATCCTTTTGCCAACCCTGTCTTGCTGCTTAACATGAAACAAGGGTCAACTCCTTTCACGGTAATTTCATATACTATGCTCAATACTGAGGCCACTGGCATGGGTACAAAGAACTATCATTCTCACAGGAACTTAGTAATCAAGAATAGCTTAAGAAAGCCAAGGAGAACTCACAGACTGTAATAAGCAATGATATGAGCTAATAAAACTGAAATATCAATCACTGTCTGAATTAACTTAAGTCAACTCTGGCTGCAGTTGAAGTTATTCCTAAGCTACAGCCAGAATCTTTCCGCTTATCACTTCTACTGCGGGTCTGCGTAGCCATCATCTCTCATTTGGATTTCTGCAATAGCCACAGTAAAAGATCACCCTGATTCGACCCTTGCCCCCCTCCATTTTATCCCTGATTGTCAGAGCTATCCCTAAAAATGTAAGAATGGATCCTTCCATTCTTCCGCTCTAATCATTGCAACGGCTCCCCATTTCATTCAAAATAAAAAACCTTACTGCCCTGCAAGGCCCTATTTGATATGAGCCTGTTTCCTCTACGTCTAGAGCAGCGGATCTCAACCTGTGGGCTGCAACCCATTTGGGGGTTGAATGACCCTTTCACAGGGGTCGCCCAGTTCACAACAGTAGCAAAATTACAGTTATGAAGTAATAGCGAAAATAATTTTATGGCTGGGGGGGTCACCACATCATGAGGCACTGTATTAAAGGGTTGTGGCATTAGGAGGTTGAGAACCACTGGTCTAAAGCCTCACCCTTCCTTACTCTGCTCCTGCCTCTCCAAGCTCCTTGTTATCCCTCTAAAACACTAACATGCCAGACACATTCTGTGTTAGGTTTTACATTAGTGGTCCCCTCCTCCCCAAATTAGCTACTTGCCATTATCCTTCAGGATTTTCTTGGCTAAGCCCTCATCTCAAGGCGTAGCTCAATCTCACCTTCTCAACAAGACAAACCCTTGCCCAGCCCTACCTCCAGGCTTCTCCCTTACCTGACTACACTTTTCATTTCTTTTGATAACACAAATCCTTTTCCAACACATTATTAGATCTATTTATCAGGTTTATTGTTGTGCACTTCCCTGCCCACCCCATCATCCCTCTCCTCAGCAATTCCCTTGCCAGAATGTATCCAACTGATAAAACCTAAGCCCATGTAGCAGAGTATCTAAGACATAGTAGACATTCATTGAAAAGTATTTGCTGAATGAATGAAAACGAGAAGTTTACAAATTGGGTGACCTTTCCTTCTTCCAGATCCTCCCACATTCCCCAATCCTCTGTCAGCGTAGTGAATGTAGATTCCACGGAGGCCTCAGAATTGCCAGCAGTCATTATGGCAAGCCAAGGTACTTGACATTCCTCTTTGGACTTTGGAGCCACCCTCTTTAAAGAAGGAAACTTTCGCCAGTGTTACGCCCTCCATCCGTGTTATTATTATGGCCTTAGGAATGATAGGCAATCAAGATCCTTCTGATCCTTCTCTAATCTATATCTCTGATTGATACTCCTGTCCTCATTTATTCTTGGCATTACTTTGTGCACACACCCTAAACTTATGGACAGGTCCATGGGGCCACAATTAGAAATGTAGTATCAGCTGGGCAGCACCAGGGTTTGTGTCACGTAAAATCAAAGGCTGGACCATGTTTTCTCAGTTGTCCTTTCATTGTTGCTTTCTTGTTTTATAGCTATTTTTCCAGGGATCTCCCAATGTAAGGTCCACTCGACAATGGAGACTTCACCAGAGCCTTTTCCCCCAACGACCATTTCCACAACTCCTGGGGACAAAGGAGGACAGAGAACTACAAGTATTGATGAAATTTCTAGGCCTTCAAAACAACAAGGTACAGAATAGGTAGGGCGAGATAAAAATTGAATGAGAAAGAAACACTTTAGCTCCAGTATTAGTTTGGGCTCCTAGTATTTTCCTGGAGGTTGAGAAGTGACACGGAGTTTCACATGCAAAGCATTCTGTTTCTTAGTGAAAATCACCTCCCCTACAAAGACGGTCCCAGAGATTTTTATAGGTTAGTACCATCGATGTTTCTTTATCTCCATGAACGTGAGCTCACCTGTTTTGGGGACAGGATAAATCCCATTCATGTGGTAGGCAATTCCAGCTACTGTATGTATGCATAGATGACACTTCAACACTACACAATTATACATGATGACAGTTACCGAGAGCATGGTTTCATTTGCACTGTTTTTAGATGTAACTCACTGCCATTGAGTCAATGATGGTTCATAGCGACCCCCTGTGGGTTTCTGAGATTTTAACTGCTTACAGGAGTAGAAGAAAGGCCCAGTCTTTCTCCTGCCCGGTGGTTTTGAACTGCTGACTGTGTGGATTGCAGCCCAATGCGTAACTACTACACTGCCAGGGTTCCATATGAACTCCCCACAAAAAACAAATCTATTGCTGTTGTGTTGGTTCCACCTCCTAGTACCCCTGTCGCACAGAGGAGAACTACCCATTTGAATGTCAGAGTAATCTCGACAGAAGCAGATGGCACACCTTTCTCCTTCAAAGTGGCTAGTGGGTTCAAACTCCCAACCTTTTGGTTAGCAGCCAAGTATTTTAACTACTGTGCCCCCAGTGTTCTTTGAAAATATTCCATAAATTGACCAGAACTCAAATTCTATATGTAAGATTACAATTTGGATTACATCTCAATTTCCAGAAGGGAGGGAGTGGGTATAATTATGAGTCTAAAAATAAGATGCACATTAGGTATCTGCCCCCAGATTTGCCTATGTCCCCAAAGCAATGCTAATTCATCTTCATTCCTCCTTATGTCCTAGTAAATCCAAGAGGATGGAATTTGAGAGAGATGGTTTCCTTTTGCTGTTGTTGTTGTTGTTTTTAAAATCATTTTATTGGGGACTTATACAACTCTCATCACAATCCATCCATCCATCCATCCAGTGTCGAGCACATTTGCACATTTGTTGCCACCATCATTTCAAATCATTTGCTGGAAAATATGGTTATCTAATCTCATACAATGTGTCGGAGTAGAGGAGTAGGAAGCCTGAGAGGGCTACTGGTGAAAGGTGAATTTAGAACTCTCTGTGCACCTAGCTGCTTTTTCCCCTGGGTGTAAAACCTAGCCCTACTTGATTATGAAAAGTTGGAAATGCCAGATAAGGTGATTCACTGGGAAGAGGCTGCACAGAAGGTTCAAGCAGAAGCCATGTTACCTAACTTCTGACTCGGAGTTTGAATTGGAAATTCTTCTGCCTATGGGGAAAGGTGGGGCCCTACTGGTCTTATGACCCAAGATAACCCAATCTCTTCTCTCTTTCAAATGTTCTTTTCTCCCTCCTCCATTCCTCGCACCCCTTTTAGAAATGGATGAAAGCCTAGAGAAGAGGAAGAAATGGAGCATTGTGGTCAAGGTTCTGATTGCTTTCACCCTGCTGCTGAGTGGACTCGCCATTATAGTGTTTGTCATTTTTGAAGTCCCATGCCCTGTAAGTGTGCTGATGTACTAGGTCCTTGGCCTGGATCACACAGACCTTCTTCTATTGCAGAGACAGCTTGGCATAATGAGAAAAGCAGACTTTAGTCTTTGGGTAGATCTGTCATGCATCCTCACTAGCTGAGAAACTCTGGGCAAATTACTTTACTTCTGAAGACTCAGTTGTCTCATCTGTACGATGGGGCTCATGATATGTGCCTCTAAGGAGTGGTTATGAAAGCTAACTGAAATTCTGTGTGAAAGGTACTCCCTAAATGCTGGGTCCTTTCCTCGCCTGTGCATAGGAGATATCCACTAGGGAAGAGAGCCTATAGGACGTCGTATATTTTTAAGGGGAAATAATTTCTTTAAATGGCCTGGCATAGTATTTGGAAGATAACCAAATGCATATGCGGTGCCTGATGCTAATACAAGTCATCTTCTCACTTCAGAGTCAATGCCTCCGAGTCAGAGAGCTAGTCCAATGTCAGCGGTTATGGGTATGGCAAGGTAAGGAAGCCAGCTTGGAAGACCGGCAACCTGGGCAAGGTGAAGCCCAGCCTGAGAAGGTACCTGTTCTATTCCTGGTTTACCACAGTTTGTTGGATAAAATGGGGTTAGTATGTAAGTAATGGGGAAATAGGAGGCTGCTTTAGTTACGGAGCAAATGTGAATAATTTTTTAATGAGCCAGGCCATAGGTAACTATGATTGTTTTCCTAACATCAGCCTAGCATATGAAAATCGGGTCTGTACTGAAAAGACATTATTCTGAATCCCAGATATACTGAACCAGAGTGTCTAAAGTAGAACCAGGAATCTTATTTTTAAGGTTTTTAGGAAGTTCTCTAAATAGGTGGTGGATTTACTGGTAAACTAATGAAGCCTAAAATTCAGGGCCCATGGGCCTAATCCAAGATCTTGTATCCAATTTTGTGCTTTCAAAATCTGTACAAGCTTCCTTAAAAGTTCCTTTAAAGAAAATGGAGGAAAGACCTAGGAGGCAAAAGACATTTATAGAGGTATAAATATAGGTATGTATATATGTAAATATATTAATATATAATGATAGGGATAGGGATAAGGTCTATGTAAATATATTTATATATTAAGTAACAAGATAACAGATGGACATTTGGCCTCTACTCAAGTCCTCCCTCAATGCAAGAGCACTTTGTTCTAATAACCTGGCATGCTGTGATGCTCACCTTCCCAACATGACCGCTGAAGTCAAAATGGGTGCATAAACAAATGTAAAGAAAGCTGATGGTGCCTGGCTATTAGAAGACATAGTGTCTGGGGTCTTGAAGGCTTGAAGTTAAACAAGCGGCCATCTAGCAGGGAAGCAACAAAGCCCACATGGAAGAAGCATACCAGCCTGCATGATAATGAGGTGTCAGTGAGATCAGGTATCAGGTATCAAAACAGACAATCATATTGATGCGAATGAGGGGTGGGGGTGGAGTGGAGATCCAAGGCCCATCTGTAGACAATTGGACATCCCCTCATAGAAGGGTCACAAGGAAGGGACAAGCAAACCAGAGTGCAGTATAGCACCGATGAAACACACAACATTCCTCTAGTTCTTTAATGCTGTCTCTCCCCATCTGCCCCCATATCATGACCCCAGTTCTCCCTTACAAATCCGGCTAGAGCAGAGCATGTACACTGCTACAGATAAGAGCTCGTGACACATGGAATCCAAGACGGATAAACCCCTCGGGAACAGTAATAGGAATAGTGCTACCATGAGGGTAGAGGGAAGTCAGGGGGCGAAAGGAGAGAAAGGGGGAACCGGTTGCAATGATCGATGTATACCCTCCCCCCAGGGGAATAAACAACAGAAACGTGGGTGAAGGAAGACAGCAGATGGTGTAAGATATGAAAATAATAATAATTTATAATTTATCAAGGGGTCATGAGGGTGGGAGTGTCGGGAAGGGAGGGAAAAAGGAGGAGCTGATACCAAGGGCTCAAGTAGAAAGAAAATGTTTTGAAAATGATGATGGCAACATATGCACAAATGTCCTTGATACAATTGGTGTATGGATTGTTATAAGAGCTGTAAGAGACCCCAATAAAATGATTTTTTTAAAAAGTTCCTTTCGGCTGTAAGAGCTTCAGGACCACAACATACATACGCATCCACCCTCGTCCCCAAGTAACTTATGTACAACAAAGTTTCGGAAACACTGCAGTTTAAAGACCTACAAAACAACTTCCTTCTTCTCTGTCCTTGGATTTTCCTGACAGGATTATAAATTAATGGAGTCCGTGGGTGTCAGAAACAGGCACTTTGCCACTGGCTCATCACAACCACTTTAAATCCAGTTTCCTTACTGGGATTCTGCCTTTGATCTCAAAACTGATAGGGACCTTCTCTGATTCTAAGGAGCCCTGGTGGGGTAGTGGGTAATGTATTGGGCTGCTATCCTAAAGGTCAGCCGTTTGGAATCACCAGCCAATACTGGAAGAACGACCAGGCTTTCTTCTCCTGTCCAGAGTAGGTCTCGGGAACTCACAGGGGCAGTTCTACCCTGTCTCTCAGCGCTGCTCTGAGTCAGACTTGGCACTAAGGCAGTGAGTTTGGTTTGCTTTGACTTCTCTTGTTCTCCAAACAGCTATAATACTAATTAAGGCAAACAGACAAGGTATCCAATCATTCTAAAACAGGGTGTCCACTTTTGTGGAAATACAGTAATAAGAGTGGCTCTCTCCAAGAAGCAGTTTTACCTGCGCACCTGGGGCTGCCTTCAGTCAGAACCAACTCCATGGCAACCAGCCACAGGCAGTGTCGCAGTATGGATGTCACAATGCCTGAGCTGAAGCGAGTGTGGAAACGTAACCATGGGTCTCAAGGTTACCTAGTCCAGCACAGCTATTTCCTGAAAACATGCTGCTACTCCTCAAACCTCTGTCTTCTGCTCGGACAAGAATCAGGCAAGGCACTCTCTCAGTCTAGACAGGGGTTCATAATACTTCCTATTACAGAGCTGCAGACATCCGCTACCAGTTTCTTTGTCATCTTCCGTATCAATTAATATTTCCCACAATCTTAATTATCCAAACGGGGAACCCAAGTAAATTAGAATGGTTTCGTTACATGAGGCATCTTTGGTTTACTCCAATCAGCATGATCATTTCTAGCTTGAATAGGTCTGAGAGAGATTAAAAAGTCTATTACAGAACTATATTTTTTCAAGTAAAAGAACTGAAGAAAAGAATCAAGCCTCAAAACAATACTGAATGATTCTATGAGCAAAATATTGAATGATGCAGGAAGTATCAAAGGAAGATTATATGAATGCAGTGTCACTGTGCCAAAAAGAACTGGCCAAAAGTAAAGTATCTGAGCAGGTATCATATGATCAAACTGCATTAACTGCATTGGTTAAAAAATAATCAAGGCTCCAAAAATTTACACAATATCAACTGAGATGTTGATGGTAGAAATAGAATAAGAATCTAGCTCTTTATCGTACAATATTAGTTGATCCATTCATAGGTTTTACAAAGATGTTCTTTGTGCTTTCTGTGTACCCTATCTTCATGAAGTTTACAGTATAGTTGGAAAGAAAGAGAATAGGCCAAAATTCCTAACTATGTTCATAACAGGTAAGCATTAAGAAAGTACACACAAAATCAGATAAGCCTTGGACTCAGCGATGGTGAGGATAGAATAGGATTAATTAATACAACTTTTCTTGACATGATTGAACTACTGACTTGTATGATATGTAAATTATATGCCAATAAAAGTGTTTAAAATAAAATGACAAAAAAGGGAGATTTAAAAAAAAGAAATATTTCATCAGCATAAACCCAAATCTTGGTCCCTTTTCAAAACATAGCAAAATTGTTTGGGCCTGACTGAAGAAATTAAGTAGAATCACTGATCAAGCTGCCTTACCAGGGCCTTGTCCGTTCAAGGCTACAGGTCATACAAAGGATTGAGTGGCACTTTGCTAGTGGGTTATATATAGGTTCTAACCAATTGCAGGTTCTCCTAGATATGTGTACCTTGCTCAACTTTCTCAGTATAAACACAATCATAGAATCAATGTGTAGCAAATAGGCAACATAATGTGTACTTAGAATTATATGATATTTTATACTTAGCCTTTCTTTTACTTATGAAGCAATGTCAATTTGCATCCTTCCTTACCTTCCATCTTCCTTTTAATCTCTAGGCTGGACAAGATGCTCCTCACTCACCAAGTCCAAAGAAAGCTGCAGAGATCATTGTTATCCACCAGACATACTTCTGAAAGTTGTGCGCTCCTTCACATGTTGAGTGAGGGACACCCCCACAGTGTCTTCTTCCTATCACTACCCAACATGGGCAGGTTCTCTCACCAGTTTGACAGTGGGATCTTCCACAAGGATATTACCATCAAATACTGATGCCAGAATTCCTGAAGTCGGTCTGCAGATTTTGACCCACCCAAACATACCCACTCCTACTTATCAAGATTGTTAGGTTCCAAAGACCAAGTCATGTAAAAATTGGCTTATTGGACAATAGGAGATAGCCACATTGGATCACAAAATGGAGGACGACTACATTACATTGCTGCGAAGTCACACCGTTTCATAACTGTTGAATTCTATTGTTACAAAAATGCCAAACCACTGAGAATTATGACCCAGTCAAGCTGAATCATAACCTTAATTATCACGGCCTGCATCAAACTCCCCTCACACCTTGGCATTTCTTATTGCCAAACATTGTTAAGATACAAAATAGAAAAACAGAGTTTTGTACTCTTGTAAATGTATAACGTTGGAAAACGAGATAGACAATAAGGGAAGGGTAGGTGTACTGAACTGGATGTATTTTAATCTTTTTAAGACTGAATTATTTTCTGCTTTGAATTTTTTTGTTGAAACCATGTGTTTTCAAATAGAAGGGTCATTTTTAACTCTTTAATGTGAACTGGATGAAGGTTTCAGGGCAGATCAGTTTTATATTCCACAATTCATATACATTGTGTTTCATGTCACTGTAATCCTCACAAGGTAACATTCCTTATCCCTCTCCCTCCTAGCATTTCCCATCTGCATGCCTCTTCCTTTCCTAACACAAATACTGCCCTTTTACTCTCCAAGGGTAGATTATTCTAAAGAGTACCTATCTCCCAGGCCTGGTGTTACCGTTCCTCTTAAAGACCTGTCTATTGTTTGAATGAAAATTGAGCCCTGAGGGTTCAGTTTTGGCAGGGGGGTCCAATGGTCTCTATCTAACCAGTAATCCCCGTGTTTTTCTTTGTTTTATGATTTTGAGGTTTGCTCCACATTTCCCTTCCACTCTAGCCAGGATCCTCTAATGTGATCCCTCAGAGCAGCCAGCAGCGGTTGCTGGCATCATCTAGTTCTGCCCTCAGGGTTCTGGAGGCCGATGTTCATGTGACCCATGGAACTAATTGTTTCTAATGTGTCTTCCTTCTTCTTTCCTATGGACAGAGACACCAGTATTTGCACGTTAGCTGGCACTCACAAGCTTTTAAAAGCTCAAGTACTGCTCACCAAAATAAGATGTAGAGCACTGTCTTGGTGGGCTATGCCAATTGACCTTAGAGTCCTAGAGACCATGCGAGCTCTTTTTAATAAAGTACTATTCAGCAGACACTGATCTAGAACACTTTTCTTATGTGTCTGACCAGAACGCGTCATTTTCCAAGGAAGAGTTAGCATATATACTTACGATTAGAGCCAGAAATGCGTTTTTGGTTTGTCAGCTTGTTTTCACCGTGGACAGGCTGACGACAGTCCTGCAAACCCCTCTTCTTTTCACATTCTAATTTGAGACTCTTGCTTTCAGTGCCTAAACACTAGGTACTGACCAAAGCCTTGATGTTTCATATCCCTCTCCCACTCCCAGGATTCCATTTCCCAAGCTCACACAATTGTCCTCATGTTGCTTTATTTACATTGTTGGTATCTTTATGTATCATTTCTGGTCCTTCTACGTAAAAGCCTGCAATGTTTGTTATTTATAGGTATGCATCAATATTTTGGAGAGAAAGACAGGACTTTCTATTCCCATCAACAGTTAGAGTCTTGGAAACTCACAGGGGAAAGTCTACCCTGCCCTAGAAGGTTGCTATGGGGCGGCAGTGACTCCATGACAGTGAGTTTGATCAATATTTTTGTATCTATCAAAGCACCAAGGTTTATTTTTACATCAAAATTGCTATTGGTTACCAGGGCATACAAACAATGAGATCATACTGTACTGTTGTAATATTTGAATTAATCTTTTTTTAAAATTCTTTTATTGGGGGCTCTTACATCTTTTATCACAATCCATACATTCATCTAGTGTGTCAAGCACATTTGTACATATGCCACCATCATCATTTTCAAAACATTCTCTTCCCACTTGAGCCCCTGATATCAGCTCCTCATTTCTTCCCCATCCATCCCCCGCCTGCCCTCCCTCCCTCACGAGCCCTTGATAAGTTATAGATTATTATTTCTATATCTTACATCGTCCTCTATCACCCCTCACCCACTTTTCCATTATTCGTCCCCCTGGGAGGGGGTTGTATGTTGATCCTTGTGATTGATTTCCCCTTTCTCCACCCACCCTGAATTATCTCTTTGAACCTAATTCCTTTTTTTAAAGCATATATTATTTTTATTATGATTTGTATGAAAGTTTACAGAGCACATTAGTTTTCTACTCAACAACTCATCTACATTTTGATTCAACACTGATTGCAATCCCCACAATGTAACATCACTCTCCCATGTCCTCCCTGTCTTTACTATTTCCATTTGTCCTTTTTTCTTTCTTTCTTTTTTATAATCATTTTATTGGGGCTCGTGTAACTCTTATCACAATCTATACATCCATTGTGGAAAGCATATTTGTACATTTGTTGCCCTCATCATTTTCGAAACATTTTCTACTTGAGCCCTTGGTATCAGCCTCTCATTTTCCCCCCTCCCTCTCACCCTCCTGAACCCTTGATAATTCATAAATCATTATTATTTGTTCATGCTTTACACTGACTGATGTCCCCCTGGGAGGGGGTTCTATGTAGATCATTGTGATCAATTCCCCCCATCTCCCCACCTTCCCCTTCCCCTCCTGGTTGTCCTTTTTTCTTATCCCTTCCTGCCTTTTGAGCTTTGTCCCTGGGTAAATGCTGCCCTTTTGATCTTATATGGTTCATTGAATCTCTATATTTTTTCCGGTATTTCTTTTTCTCTTCATCATTCTCTTCCACCACTTTATTCTAATACTTCTTTTTCTACTTTTCCTTTCCCTTATTCAATGACTTGAGTTTGACAGTTATTCAATACTTGAATTATTTCCCTTGATCTGCATTTCTTGGGAGCTTGGATTTGTCTCCACTAAAATTCTAGATCCAAAGAGCCTTTTCTTCTACCTAACCTTATATGACCAAGCCTACATTTAGCACAAACTAGCAACAAGAGTGCCTTGATTTAGAAACGTACACAGGACTTTTGTGAATTTGGGCCACCCAGTGGATGAAGTTGCTAGCTGCACCCTCTGGGGAAAAACAAACAAACCAAAAAACCAACCTAACTTCCAATTTGTCATGGCGTTGGCTTTTACTCATAGTAACCCATGTGTGTAGATTGCTAGGCCTTTCCTCCCAGGTGCCCTAGTGGGTTCAAACTTCCAACTTACTAGTAAGCAACCCAGCACCCATTAACTATTTGGACCACCCAGGTTTTCAAGTAAAAAAAGCAGTGGCCATATATGTGAAATAAATATATCATAACAGATATGAAGCTTATACCACTGACCCAACAAGAAAGTCATTAACAGGTAAATTTTGTTCTATTTTGTTATATTTCCTAAAACTTAGGATGGAAAAGGATATATTTAGGAGTATGGTACCATGGTCTCTACAGAATAAGGTTATGCCCAGAAAACTCTCTAAGAATTCTTTCAGACCACTACTGTTCCCTAATGTACTAGTAAACAGTGCAGGCCATGGGAGTAAAGTCCTTCCTGCTTCCTAGAAGAACCGATCACTCAACAGAGGGGATACTAAATTTGCATGTGTATAAACTATGGATACTGTCAGAGAATAGCTTATTTTTTTATATGATGAATATTCTTGGGCATATCAATATCCAGAACACAAAGGCGCACTCCCCAAAAGGCCTGAAAGTTTTTTTTCAAAACTATGTATTTAAATGCGTTGTCATGGTGGCAAAACCAGTCCTCCGCCTGCCACAAATCAGGCCTTTTTTTGTTGCACTCTTACACAACCTTTTCAGAACCTCTAAATAGACTTGATTAACAAGTCTGACCTGGCGGAACACACTCCAAATGCACTATCTCCCTCATACCAAAAAAACATATGAGCATCATGTTGATCTTTTATTTCACTTGAGCTTTTGGGGGGGTGAGGTGATGGTGGTGTCTTCCACTGTTCGAGTGATGTTTGCTTTGGGGGTCATAAGAAGAGCACCATGTCTCATCACCAGTAATGACCTTGGAGAAGAAAGCCTAGGTCGCTTAGGAGTTGTTCTTTCCAAGCACGGCATGTTTCCACTTGACATTCTTTATCCCGGTCAGCCAGAACCTGAGGCACAAATCTCCCAGTGACCCTCCTGATTCCCAAATCTTCCATTAAAGTTTGCTGAACCAAGCTCCAAGTTAGTCCAGAAACTTCCCCATCTCTTCAGAGGTCCCTTGTTGGTCTTCGAGCACAAGTGCACAAATTTTGACATTTTCGTCCATTCGGTAAGTTGAAGGACATCCAGAACGTGGTTTGTCATCAATAGACATTTCACCTTTTTCGAAATGAGAAAACCACTTCTACACGTGAGTTTTTCCCATAGTTCTGTCCTTGAAAGCTGTGTTCAACATCACAACAGTTTCTTCGGCATTTTTCCCAAGCAGGAAACAAAATTTCACAGCTGCACACTGTTCTCTTAAATTGGCCATCACAAAAAACAAGGTTTGAGCAAAACTGCTTTTATGAAAAAAATTTGCTGTGGCATCCTATATGCCTTCTATACACATTATTGCTTTGTGACCAGAGAGAACCTTCCCAGGCTAAGCC